TAGAGGATTGTTTGTGCAGGCCATAGCTCCATGGTGTTTTAGCACCTGCTGCGCTCAGGCGCAAAGCAGCTGCAAAATGTTTGGTCGAACTAGCATATGTTCAAATATTAACTAATATGCCCCTACCCTAGCCATATGTGACCAAATAAACCTTATCAATATGAAATTGCTAGCAAACTGCTTCTAGTAAGAACCACAATCTCCTATCACTTCTCCTGATTCACAAAGCGTATTCCCACTGGGGTTTATTTTTGTCTGTTTGTTTACCAAAGAAACGGTTAGAATTCTAAATTTTCAATGTAAATGCACCGCATTCTATACAATAGTTTGAAACTTTTCATCGTTCCGCTAACTATTTAGACAGCAGATGATTCGATAATCATCAAGTAGAAAATTTTACTTCCACACTCGAATTCTGCGCATGTGCTACCAAATCGTCAAAACAGGATTCGCACAGGGATACGTGATGCACATTTTTTATAAATGCGCTACACGTGCTTTAGAAGAAGAAAAGCGTAAGCGCTGTTTAACATATGTGCGAACAAAGCACTGTAGCAAGAAAATAACTGCATAATAATGCTAAGTTTGCCCAGTATAATCAGCTAGTCATGAAATTATCATTGTCGCTAGTTGTCACTAAATGGATCGTGTCATATTACGCTTTGCCGTGAGAAACTCGTCATCTTTTATTCGATCATAATTTTTAATTAAAACGGTATATTGTGCATTAAACTGTGCATATTCAAAGGCTGTTGTTGGTGGGAGTCGTCCCAGAAAATCGGAGAAGGGTTGGGCATTCGTAACGCGTATCTAAGATTTTCTTCCGCTGAAGTGTAAACGTCTGCTGTTTAACCTGTCTACGCTTCTGTAGTTTCAGATTCAAGCATGTGAAGTGGGAACAGCGCAAAACAGCCGAAGAGGGAAATGCTTTAATGGACCTGGCAAAAATGCAGCGAGTAATGCACGAAAGCTTATTTGATGCAAAGAAGCAACAAGAAAGCATAATTAACCGACTGGAGGTTTTGAACAAGTCGGTTCAGAATCTGCAGCATGCTATGACGTTGATGAACATCAATTCATAAGTTCAAAAATGAAAACGCCAGTGAATTTCAGTGACTTCATTTGAAAATTCATGGCATCCGATATCCTGAACGACAACCCATTCAAATGCATCTATTTTCATCGACGACCAAATTTGCTCTCCAGAACTGTCAACCCAAATCACGTTCAGAGCACCGAACGTTCTGCTGTAATTCTTGCTGTATGATTACACTGTTTTAAAGTAATAAACTTTTGACCAAACTTTACGAAATGTGGTTTACGTCAAATCCTAGAGCGTCTCAGAATCAGTAAATTTTGCTAGTTTGTGAAAAGTAAATATGCAATAATAAGACTGCCTGAAACAAATTTGAATGTAGCATTTCAATTACCATTGAACCACTTTCTTCAAACATGTGCTTTTTCAGAATTCCTAGAACACGCTAATCCGAATTTCGCAGAACATGACTGCAATGATCAATACTAAACATTCTAACAGTACAGTTCTAATGCTAGTTTCGTCCAGGATACAACGACTGCGCATATCGAATAGGGGTACGACTTACTATCTACATAATTATGACATCTTCACCTTACATGACAACTTCTCCTTCGGGGTCGCGGAGGCAGACGAGTCAGACAGAGCATTCAACGTTCCCGATCCTCTGCCAGAGTTTCAGCTTCGGCAGAAGACAACCGGAATCTGGAAAGACTCCTTACCTATATTTGCACCAGGTTAATCATGGCCCGCGACCCTAAAGGAGAAGCGAAGATAGAAGATGATGATGAAGACGAAGATGAAGATAATCTTGGCCGTCTCCAGGGGCCTTCTATAGGTCGGTTCAGCAAGAAACATTTGCTTGACCTTTCTTTCTGGAGGCATTCGCAACACATGCCCAAGCCATCGCAGCTGTGACTTCTCAATCTGGAGAAG